CTTGCGGCGCCTGACCGGCCCTATACGTGCCCACGCCTCGCGAAGACCGACACCGCCGTCGCAACAGCGCCTTGCCCGCCTCCCTCCGCTCCAGCGCGAGTCGCCGATGGACCCGCCGGCCACAGCGAGCGCCTTCGGGCCTCGAGCCGAAAACATAGTCTGCGGCCTGGTGGAGGAGCCACCCGGAAGGAGGCGACCGATCGACCCGGAGCTGATGTGTTCTTTGTGTCGGCCTCTCCTACCGCGCACTCGCTCTCTCCTTTCCCTTCTCCCCCTCTTTCTCCTATAGTTCCCTCCCCTCCCTTTTTCTCTTCTTTTCTTTTTCTTTTCATTCCACTACCCCTTCCTCTCTCTCTCTCTCTCTCTCTCTCTCTCTCTCTCTCTCTCTCTCTCTCTCTCTCTCTCTCTCTGTCCTCATTGCCTTCCTCTCTCGCCCCTCGCAAACAGCGGCCGTTCCCACTTCCCTTTCTCAATTCTAAGCCTCTTATCGCTGTTACCCTCACGATACACATACCTCCCCTTCCCTCCGCGCGGGGCTAAATGAATAAGTTATGAGTGCTAAGAATGTGGATAAATATGTAGGCGTGAGTATGCAAGTTCATGCAGGCGCTCTGCTTGTTTGTATTTTAGCTGCATCAAATATAGCTTGTAAACACGCATGTGCTTCAGACTCTTATTCTCTGTTTTTCTATCTCATAATATCATTCTTACAAATATTAGCATTCAGCATTGACGCGAGAGTGAGCGAGTAAGAATGAGTGGGAATGAGAGAGAGAGAGAGAGGGCGAGAGGGCGAAAGAGAGAGAGAGAGAGAGAGAGAGAGAGAGAGAGAGAGAGAGAGAGAGAGAGAGAGAGAGAGAGAGAGAGAGAGAGAGAGAGAGAGAGAGAGAGGGAGAGAGAGAGGGACAGAGAGAGGGACAGAGAGAGGGACAGAGAGAGGGAGGGAGAGAGAGAGAGAGAGAGAGAGAGAGAGAGAGAGAGAGAGAGAGAGAGAGAGAGAGAGAGAGAGAGAGAGAGACAGACAGAGAGAGAGAAGAGAGAAGAGAGCTAGTACTGCTTGACGGTCGATAAGAGCACGTGTATGGGTTTCATGTGACCAGCGTAGGAACTCACGTGTTGCCTTTTGCTCTCTCGCGGGTGTCGCCCGGTCGCCCTACTGACTCTGCTGATCAGCTGATCGCCCCACTCATCACATGAATGGCCGTTCTTGCAAGCAAGCAAAACCGATAATTACCGCATTTACATAAATATATACATACTCACGTACATACATACATAGATACATACAAACAAACATAAATACATACATACAAACATACACACACATACATATGTGTGTGTGTGTGTGTGTGTGTGTGTGTGTGTGTGTGTGTGTGTGTGTGTGTGTGTGTGTGCGCATCTGTGCGTGTGTACATGTGTGTGTGCATGTGCATAGACATAGATACGTATGGATACGTAAACACACACACACACACACACACACACACACACACACACACACACACACACACACACACACACACACACACACACACACACACACACACCAAGTAAAGCAAAGTCGGCCCGACCGTTTGGGCGCCCAAGGACCCGCGGGCAGGCGTCGCTGCTGCCGGGTCGCCAAGCATGGCCTTCCGAGAGCCAGCGCTGCGGCCGGTCACGTTGACGCCAGCACGTGCCATGCGAGGGCCGCTGGTGAACGAGGAGCAGGACGAGGAGGAAGAGTGGGGGAAGGTGAGGCAGAGTAGAAGAAGGAGGAAGAAGCAGAAGAAGAAGAAGAAGAAGAAGAAGAAGCAGCAGAGGAAGAAGATTAAAAAGCAGGAATGGGAGAAGGAGAAATAGAGGGTGGATGAGGATAAGGAGGAATAATTGGGGAGGAGGAGGAGAAGGATAATTGACATTTCTCTTACGGAGAGTGTAAAACAATTCCTAATCAGCAAAGATATGCATCACCATATCTTTACATTTTGGTTGAATATGACAATATTAATACAATATCAGTAAGGGCTGCAGTTAATTCCGATGCAAACAATGATGATCATTTTAACAAAAAATATAATGACAATAATCGTGATAATAATCATAATGATAAAAATAGCAATAATAATAACAATAATACAACAATGGAAATGATGATGATAATGATAACAACATAGTAGTGGTAACAAGCAGCAGCAGTGGTAATAGTATTAGTAGTAGTGGTAGTAGCAACAATAATAGCAGTAACAGAACCATGCTATTATTGACACCAGCACTGGAAAGACGGATCCTTAGACAAGAAACCCGATAGGTAACTTCGTCGCCCACGTGAGCTTGAACTAATTCTGTTTCATGCAACCGATAGCCGTCTCGTTCCCTCGCTTCGTGTGAGGGCGAGGGAGGGAGAAAGGAAGGAGAAAGCACGGGGAGAGTTGGAAAAGGAGGAAGGATGCAGGGAGGGAGGGAGGAGGGGGAAGGGAGGTAAGGTGGGTGGGGCGGAGGGAGGGATGGTGGCAGAGAA